CAGTGGAATGTGTATTTGTTTGGCTGACCATCCTAGTCATCAGGCAGAGACAATGAAGGTGCATTTACATAAAAGGTAAACAAAGCCATCAAACTGACAAGGGGAGGAGGTAACAACTCAACTGTCACTAGTGGGGGGAAGGAACCAGCATGAAGTCTTCACCAGACTGCATGGCATCTTTTCCCAGAAGTTGTGAGTTTACTGAACTGTAAAGACAGGGGGTCTGAACTTCAAATGATAAATAATTGAATCAACTAACGGTATACAATATTACTGTACTATAAAAGTATGCCAGGTAAGATCTTTTATGAAAGCTAATGAGACATTGATGATTAATGTCATTGCAAAATGTATGTATTAACACTATATAAGGAATTATGAATACTCACTTATATTATGCTTTAAAGTCTGTGACCAAACACAAGTTTTTCCCCCCAGACAAGAGGGAAGGCAGCTATCTACCTCTCTGCAATGAAATTAAGCAAGATATGACGAAAAACAATGGAATCCCCATTTACATCCGAATCAGCAAGGGGATGAGAAGTCCACAGGAAGAGAAGAACAGCAAAAGGTCATCCTGAGTCTGGGGACAAAACCGTGAGTTTAGGAAGATATAAGGAGAGAGAAGAAACCATCTTGACATCCATCACTGGACAGACACAAGGGGCCAGAGAAAGATTGGTCCTTCAGCGAAGGGGGTTGAAGTCTCTGGGAACTGAATATAGGTGAGAAACCAGCTTAGGCAAAGATCTTTCACCTAGGAAGACAAGTGAAACAAGCCCCTTGTACATCTGTGGAAGGTCCTGACTCAGAGAAGATGGCAAAGATTAAAAATTTGTTAAGAAATCTTCCTTGAACAAAGACTGTAGCTTGTTAAATTAGGTCTTAGCCATTAGAAAATATTTTTACTTTTATTTGCTTGTGATCGTTTTGTCTTTATACCTTGTATTTGAACAAACTTAAAACCTCTCTCTTTTTGTTAATAAACCTGTTTTACTTTTAGTCTAAGCCAACCTCATGCTGTGTTTGAATTGAAGTGATCGTTAACTCCAGTTAAAGTGATAAGTTGTGCTTTTGTCTCTTTAAAGGAGCAACAAACCTTATTAATTCTCTGAGTGTTCTGGGAGAGGGCTGGACATTTCAGGGCAGAGGATCTTGGGGAAATTTGGGACTGGGGAGGGAGGGGTGTTGGGGTAAGTAGTAACCAAGGTTGGTGGAGAACACAGTGGGGTTGCTGGGGTCAGAGCACTGAACTAGGGCTGCACAGCACAGAGGGGCTCAGGGAACTGCATGTTTGTCTGCATGCTGTTGGGGGCTGGACTGTGAGCCACAGCAGTAGAGCATTTTAAGGCACCCAAAGGGCAGGTGGTGACAGAATCTCTCATTGGTCTGGATTCCACCCTAAAATCTTACAGCTGCCTTCCCAGAATATACTCAAGTAATGGTTAAGCAGAATCATAGAAGTGTAGGATGGGAAGGGACCTCACCTGGTCATCTAGTCAAATCACCTGCACTCAAGACAGAACTACATAATAACTAGACCATTCCTGACAGGTGTTTGTCTAACCTGTTCTTAAAAACCTTCAATGATGGAGATTCCACAACCTTCCTAGGCAATTTGTTCCAGTGCTTAACTACCCTGGCACTTAGGACGTTTTTCCTAATGTCCAACTTAAACCACCTTTGATGCAATTTAAGCCCATTGCTTCTTGTCCTATCATCAGAAGTTAACGAGAACAATTTTTCACCCTCCTCCTTGTAACAACCTTTCATGTACTTGAAAACTGTTATCATATCCCCTCCCTTAGTCTTCTCTTCTACAGACTAAACAAACGCAATATTTTCAATCTTTCCTCAAAGATCATGTTTTCTAGTCATTTATTCATTTTTGTTGCTCACCTCTGGGCTTTCTCCAATTTGTCCACACCTTTCCTGAAATGTGGCACTTAGAACTGGACACAGTTCTCCAGCTGATCCTTATCAGCGTGGAGTGGAAGAATTATTTCCTGTCTTGCTTACAACACTCCTGCTAATACATCCCAGAATTATGTTTGCTTCTTTTGCAACAGTACTACATTGTTGACTCATATTTAGCTTGTGATCCACTATAACACCCAGATCCCTTTCCACAGTACTCCTTCCTAGGCAGTCATTTCCCATTTAGTATGTGTGCAACTGATTGTTCCTTCCGAAGTGGAGTACATGCATTTGTCCTTATTGAATTTCATCCTATTTACTTCAGACCATTTTCTCCAGTTTGTCCAGATCATTTTGAATTGTAATCCTATCCTCCAAAGCACTTGCAACCCCTCCCAGTTTGGTATCATCTGCAATCTTTATAACTGTACTCTCTATGCCTTTATCTAAATAATTTATGAAGATATTGAACAGAACCGGACCCACGACAGATCCCTGTGGGACCCCACTCGATATGCCCTTCAAGCTTGACTGTGAACCACTGATAACTACTCTCCAGGAAAGGTTTTCCAACCAGTTATCCACCCACCTTATAGTACAGGGTTGGGCAAATCTGGCCCACAAGCTGTTTTAAGCCAGCCCGCAAGCCACACCAGAGACTCGGCCCCGCTCCGGCTGGGGCGCTGGGTCAGGGGCTGGACCACGCAGCTCGGACCCGCTCCAGACAGGCAGCAGGGTCGGGGGCCACACCATGCGGCTCCTGGAAGCCACAGCATGGCCCCGCTTCACCTCCTACGCACTCCAATGGCCCCCTCCAGCGGTCCAATGAGAACTGCAGGGGCGGTGCGTCCGGATAGTGCAGCGTGCAGAGCCACCTGGCTGTGCCTCCGCGTAGGAGCCTGAGAAGGGACATGCCGCTGCTTCCGGGAGCTGCTTGAGGTAAGTGCTGCTCGGAACCTGCACCCCAGAGCCTCTCCCCATGCCCCAACCCCCTGACCCAGCCCTGATCCTCCTCCTGCTCTCCAAACCCCTAAATCCCAGCCCAGAGCACCTTCCTGCATCCCAAACCTCTCATCCCCAGCCCCACCCCAGAGCCCGCACACACCCCCAGAGCCCACACCCCTTCCCCAGCCCTGATCCCCCTCCCGCCCTCCGAACCCCTTGGTCCCAGCCCACACACCCCTCCTGCACCCCAACCCCAATTTTGTGAGCATTCATGGCCCGCCATACAATTTCTATTCCCCAACGTGGCCCTCGGGGCAAAAAGTTTGCCCACCCTTGTTATAGTAGCTCCATCTAGGTTATATTTCCCTAGTTTTTTTATGAGAAGGTCATGTAAGACAGTATCAAAAGCCTTACTAAAGTCAAGATATACCATGTTTATACTTCCACCCAAACACAAGGCTTGTTACCCTGTCAAAGAAAGCTATTAGGTTGGTTGACATGATTTGTTCTTGACAAACCTATGTTGACTGTTACTTACTATCTTCTTTGTGTTTGCAAATTGATAGCTTAATTATTTGCTCCATTATCTTTCCGGGTACTAAAATTAAACTGACTAGATCTGTAATTCCCTGGGTTTTATAGATTGGCACTATATTTTCCCTCTTCCAGTCCCCTGGAATCTCTCCCATCTTCCATGAGTTTTTGAAGATAATCACTAATGGCTGCAATGAATGAATGAATGAATGCAAACACACAGCTGTGATGACAGAAAAGCTGCTGTATAGACATAAAGTAAACTGAGTTACTTGCAACTGGTTACAAAACCATAGCTGGAGTTGCAGAGTGGACAGGACTAAAATGGAATCATCTTGCAATTGGGTTGAGGGACAACTGTGTAATAACTAGATCCCTTTATACAGCACTGTTTGTAGTGAGGAGGACCTTAAGCCTCCACTGGTTGCTCATGTGTGCGTGAGCAGACACACACAGATCACAGAATGAAACAATCTATTCAGTTCATCTTGTTTTATCCTTTAAAGTTTTACTTCTGGGTTAAAAATAGTATTTAAAAATTCTTTTCCTGTGTTACTAATAATGCCTTAGATTATTGAAACTGAAAACTTCTAACTTTCACCATTTATATTGTTTGTTTTTCTTCATTACACTTAGCTTTGACAATGAAAACAGACTGGTCAGTTTCTCTTCCCAGTGCTCATATGCTGCAACATTTGGATCACAATCTGCAGGGGAACAATTCAGTCCAACACATACACAAACCCTATTTTCACTGAATTATTTCATGAAAACATTTGTATTAATATCAGGCTTTGTAAAACCTTTAAAACACACACACACAAAATTTGAGACCTAAAACTATCTAACAGTACCACTTTATATGTCCAGCTAAGGAAAAATAGACCCACCTCCTCAAAACAAATCAAAGACTAGAACTTTCCATATATTTAACCCTATTTCACCTTTTAATAATTGTGTGAACTTTATGAAGATGAATTTTACCCTCAATAGCAATAAAAATTAAGGTAGCCTCTCTCTGCTTATCCTCCCTTTTAGGGTTAACAGGGAAATTGTTGCCCATGAGTGTTTGGGAGCTTCAGCACCTTTCCATGACTCACCTCTTACAAATGTATATGGTCAAGTCAATGGTAGCTCTCCCTTCCCCAGTCAGACTATACATATCCCATCCACACAGGCCCCATCCAGCAGCCAGGCCACAACTCCACCAGCAGCCCATAGCAGTGGGTATCTGTTGCCCCCAAGGTCATGATTACCTTGGGAATATGGATCATGACAGAAAACGTTGGATGAATGAATGCGCTGATTGCCCTTTGTGATGACCAAGGCAGTTATGTTTAAAAACGTGTTAGCTGAAGGGTTAACTATGATCCACTATCACATGGTGCAACACACCTTGACCCTGTCTATACTAGGTGTTAAATTGCCTTTAACAACGTTAGTTAAGGCGGGTGAGCTATCAGGGTGTCTAACCTTGTCCATTTCCCCAGCGCAGACATGGCCCAACTGAGGAGCATGGCCAAGCGCAGCGCTGCAAACATTTGCAATAGCCTGAAGGAACTCTACGCTTTGTAAACAACTAGCACGATTTAGCGTTGTGGGCAGAAACAAAGGCGACGAGTGGAGCTGCTGTGGAACCCACTGGAGCTGCAGCAGCAGCTCTCCTGGGTCCGGGGCTGCAGCCCCCACCCACCTTCAGCGCCTGCGTGGAGGCGCCTCCCAGTCCCTCTCCGGCTGAAAGTTTCTTCTCTCCGGGGCAGTGCTGGGCTCGGGGCTGGAGGAGCCAGGCGCTGGGGGTGAGGAGAGCGGACACGCCGGTTTCCTGTTGGACGCGACACAGCCAGGGACCGTCTCCTTCGGAGCTCATCGTCTCCTTTGCAGGCACATAAGGCGAAGCCGGGCGGCGCTTTCTCCTGCCTCCCTTCCCGGCGCGCGCGAGGAGATGGGCTGGCTCCAGGCGTACCTTGGCGCTCTCCTAGGTAATTCGCACGGCCCCTGTTTGCCTTCTGTCCCCCAGGGCAATAGCGGGCGCAGCTTCGTCAGATCGGCCTGTCTCGCTCAGCCCAGCCGGGGGTTGGGATCCCGGACCCGAGGGTCTCCCTAGCTGGGCTGAGCCCAGCGGGCTTGGTCGCCCAGAGCCCAACTTGCTTCGGCTGGCAAGTTCCTGCCCCACCCCCGCCAGCTGCCCTTGGCCTCTATGGGCACGTCCCTGCAGTTGCTCCGGGCCAGGCAGCCCGGCCAGGTTAGGACCAGCGTTGCCTCCCGCGCAGACAGCTGGGGCTGTGGGTTCCTGGCGCGGTGCAGGCAGCTCACCTGGGGGGCGCGCTGGGCTGGACGACGGAGCGGCGGGGGGGGGTCTCCTCTGCCTCCCCCCATCATATGGGAAAATCCCCCCCTCCCCCCCGCAAGCGTCGGCCCCGGGGTGTCCGCGCTCCTCGCACCCGGGACCGGCTGCGCCCTGCCCGGCCTCGCTGCCTGCCTCACCAGCTCTGCCTTCCTCCGTGCAGGGCTGTGGGCCGCCGCCCTGGCTCAGGAGCCCGAGTACAGCTACGGGTGCGCCGAGGGCAGTTGCTACCCGGCCACCGGCGACCTGCTGATCGGCCGCGCCTCGCAGCTGTTCGCCAGCTCCACGTGCGGGCTCCACAGGCCCGAGCCCTATTGCATCGTGAGCCATCTCCAGGTAAGGACCCGGCCGGCGGGAGGGGCCCCTGGCTGCGCTGCGCAAACAGCTGGCGCTGGGGAGGGGGCGGAGAGGAAGCCGAGTGCATCCCTGGGGCTCAGCTTTGTTTGCACAGTTGCATCCGTCCTGCGTTTCCTGCCCTGGGTTGTCTGGCTGCCGGGTTGGAAGGAAGCACCTTCTCCCAGGAAAGGAGTGGGGGAGTTGGGCGGGAGCGCAGGGGCAGAGGCTGTGCCTGCCTGGGAATGCTGTCCTGAGGGGGGCCAAAGCACCCCCCATCCCACTGCGGGGGCTCTGCGCCCGGTGCTAGCCACTGGCACCTCCCATTCCCCTGTTCCCCCAAGCTCTGATCCGGAATCGGAGCCTTCCTCTGCCCCAGCTCTGCAAAACAGTGAGCACCCAGCATGGCCATGAAAGCCATGAGCATCACCCAGCCCTCTTGAGAGATTCCCAATCACATGTGACATTTAAAACTAGACTGCCCAAAGCCAGGAAAATTCTGTATGGAACAACCCTGCGGGGGCTGGGAGCTGGATCCCTCCAGCCTCTAACAGTGATGAATCTTTTGTGCTAGTCGGATTAGAAGTATAGTAGTTCAGATGAATATAAACACAATGCCTGCATCTGTAACTTTCACTCTGTGCATCTGAAGAAGTGAGGTTTTTACCCACGAAAGCTTATGCCCAAATAAATCTGTTAGTCTTTAAGGTGCCACCAGACTCCTGGTTGTTTTTATAAACACAAAATGTTCTGATATATAATCTCGCCAATATAAAAATACTACCAACACAACACATACAAATACATTTGTAAAAACTCTACATTAAATAAGATGAACAATATATTGAGTGTTATATTAAATCGGAGGCCCTTGAGTTGCTTGGGGCCCTAAGCAATTGCTTAGGCCTAGTGCCACCGCTGGCAGTAGTATTGCTGAAAAGGATTGGGGGTTATAATGGATCATATATTAAGTATGAGTCAACAATGGGATGCAGTTGCGAAAAAGGCTAATGTCATTCTGGGGTATATGTCATATACAAGACACAGCAGGTAATTGTTCTGCTCTACCTAGCACTGGTGAGATCTCAGCTAGAGTACTGTGTCCAATTTTGGGTGCCACACTTCAAGAAAGATGTGGACAACTTGGAAAGAATCCAGAGGAGATCGACAAAAATGATAAAAGGCTTAGAAAACATGATCTATGAGGAAAGGTTTAAAAAAAATGATCATGTTTAGTCTTGAGTAAAGAAGACTGGGGGGAAGGGAGGTAAAGGAGGACCTGATACGTTTTTAAATATGTTAAGAGCTGTTAAGAGGACAGTGATTAATCAAATGTTCTCCATGTCCACTGAAAGTAGGGCAAGAACTAATGGGATTAATCTGCAGGACAGGAAATCTAGTTAGATATTAAGAAAAACTTTCTAACAGTAAGGATAGTACAGTACAGGAATGGGTTTCCAAGGGAGGTTGTGGAATCCCCTTAAGAACAGGTTAGACAAACATTTGTCCTGCCTCATTGTAGGGGGATGGGCTAGATGACCTCTCAAGGTCCCCTCCAGCCCAGATTTCTCTGATTCTGTGATATAGAGGCAGTATAAATAGCATGCCTAGTTATTTGCACCCCTAGTGTACTTTTACATTTAAACCCAATTTAACTTGATAAGTTAAGTAAGAATGTGGCACAGGGAGTTCAATTCATACTTCTGCAGGCTTGTACAGAGCCGTCTAGACTACTTCCTGAATCAAAGTCAGTATGTAATTATATTTATAGTTTAAATTCTGGCATTTGGGGGGGGGGGGTAGTTAAATCTGTATGTGTCATCAAGTAAAACAATGAAAATATGAATTTATGTGGAAAAATAGTCTAGCTCATTCCAGGTTTCCAAGCAGGGCCGGCTCCAGGCACCAGCCGAGCAAGCTGGTGCTTGGGGCGGCAGATTGAACGAGGCGGCATTCCGCCCAATCCTAGGTTGGCACTGCCGCTTTTTTTTTTGTTTTTTTGTTCCGCTCTGGCCGCCCTGTAGGGGGCAGTGGCGTGGAGGACGGGAGCGCACTGCAGCAAGCCCGGCAGGGCAGTCCTCATCCTTCCCTCCCCGTCGACCGGAGCGGAGCCCTCCCGGCAGGCGGCATGGCGCGGCGGGAGGGGCCGCGTGGCAGCACCCCGCTGTAGCCCTGGCCGCCCCCTTTCTCTCTCTCTCCCGCCCACTCCCTCCCCCCCCCCCCC